CTTTCTACTCCTGTAAAGATTTACACCCTCGGAAACCCTGTACAGGGTCGCTATGGGTCGGAACCGACTCGACGGCACTTAACAACAACAACAACAATGACAGTAAAACGATTATCCAAGAAATGACTGATTTGGCAGTTCAGGTTCGAAAATTGCTCCACTACCTCATCAGGGCCCCAAATCCTTAACACCAACCTGCCCCACTTTAAACACAAACCACAGTGCTCTGGCTCCAATCTGTACACTTCAGACATTCTTAACGCCCCAGATGCTTTTTTTTTTTTTTTTTTTTACCTCTGCTGGGCCTTATATGATTTAGGCCCTGGAATATCCATTTCCCTCCTCCCTTCCCCATCCCATACACACTAGTTCCCATGCAGACTCCGCCCCTGACTTCTCCCTAGACCCAGAACGAATTCGTCTTTTCTTTCCTTCCCTGAAACTGAAGGAAGCGCATACCCAGATACTCGTAGTCCGGTAGGGCTAGGCGCTCTGGACTCAGCATCCTTTGGCCGGAATTGCTTCAAAGCTACAGCTCCCCGGGTTCCGGAACCTAGGTGCAGGCTCTCTCGGTTGCCATGGCACCCACGCGGTGGGAGGAGAGGTGGGAGAGGCAGGGGTGTCTCACAAACACTTTCCGTAGGGCACTACCAAGCTGAGCACAAAAGTTCCGGGCGCAGTTACTTGGCCGTGGCGGAGGTTTCTCTAGACTACCGTTTTTTCAGAAGTTGGTTCCAGGGGAATCCGTGGTGGAGAATTTCTTTGACTTTGTCATATTTCTCAGTGTTGAGGGATAACTCATTCCTCCATATTCGCAATTTCATCGTCTCTTAACTAGGCTTTTATCTAGCTGTTATTTCCACCCCTAAACTCCCATAAATATTATGTGTTTTAATCCTCACCCTTGTAGCATTGTGAGTTAACGAGTTGTGTTGCTAGCCACCAGGTCAGCAGTTGGAATCTACCAGTTGTTCCCTGGGAGAAAGATAAGGCTTTCTGCTTCCATAAAGATTTCAAACCATTATTTATTAGAAGACTTGCTGGCGCCATGGTTAAAGCACTCACCTGCTAACCAAAAGGTGAGAGTTTGAACCTACCAGCCTTCCTGGGGAAGAAAGTTGTGTGTCCGTCTGCTTTTTAAAAGATTGACAGCGTCCTAAGCCTCGTGGAGCGTTATCTATTCTGTCCTATAGGATCGCTATGAGTGAGTCTACTGCCCAGTAGTGGGTTTGGTCTGGACGTTGTTTACTATATTAAATTGTTACAAAGTGCTTTCACATGCATATATTTTGAGGTCCGGTATGGTCAGTGTGTTTTTTGTGTACAGCAGGGCAGAACACAGAGAAAGTGTCAAATAAAGATGATAGTTGACATTTCTTCTTTAGTTTCTCCTTCTCCTCCCAACCGTTACTATTTCATATCCTCCCCAAGAATATTTTCATCTTCTTACCTTGACACTTCAGTTCCTGAGGAGAGGGGTGCATAAACAGAGCATCAATTGGATATCCCCCCTTGTGTCCCCACCCCCCCAAAACCATTTCTTCTTTAAGAGGGGAAAGGATTCCTTGTTTTCAAGTTCCCAGGCATTTCTCTTTTGCTCCTCTCCACTCCTAGCAACAACTCAGAACATTTGTCACAGTTCAAACCTAGTTTTTTCTACTCTATCTTCACTTTTTTAGGTAGTGAAAAGGTCAGATAACCTGGCACCTCCTAAGATAAGGTAAGGTTTTTTGAAAAAATATGTATATAAATAAATGCATGCTATCAAAGGAATGACTGAGAAACCAGTGGACCACCTACACTGGGAGGAAAAAGGAAAGGGGAGGTTCTTGTCTTTGTGTTTTGAGTGGTCTATTCTTAGCCTCCTCCAGCAAGGAGCCTCAAACCTCCTAATTCTCCCTTTCCCTTAAAATTGTATATATGTCTCATTTCTAGGCTCCTCTGAGTCACTCTGAGTTTGGATGTGGTAAGGATAAAGGAACAGAGCCAAACTAGAAGCAGCATTTAGTATCCTCAGGTAATGAATTTACTAATTTAATATTTGTGGTGAAGTCCTGCAAATTTTATTTTTAAAATTTGCCTTCTTCTAACCCCCTCCTCACAAACACAGCTGTTTCTTAGGGGAATGAAAGTTTCATAGGTTTCCCATTTATGACTTACTACGGACTCGACAGCACTTAAGAATAACAACTGTATTGAGGCTTTCTACTGGAGTCCTGGTGTGATGCTGTGGGCTAATGTGTCAGACTGCAGAGTCCTTTGAACTGCAAGGCTGATGGTTCAAACTTACCAGCTGCTCCTTGGAAACCCTATACAGGGTCGCTATGGGTTGGAATCAACTCGAAGGCACTTAACAACAACAACAACAACAACTCTTAGAAAATCCTGGTGTGGCACTATGGGCTAATGTGTCAACTGCAAAGCCGTTTAGCTGCAAGGTTGGTGGTTCAAGCTCACCAGCCGCTCCGTGGAAACCCTATACAGGGTCACTATGAATTGGAACCGACTCGACAGCACACAACCACCACCACCTCTATATTAATACTATAATAATAGGATTAAGTTACATGCCATTGAGTTGGTTCCTATTCATAGTGACCCTGTATAGGGTTTCTGAGGAGTGGCTGGTGAGTTTGACCCACCGGCCTTGTGGTTAGCAGCAAAGTGCTTATCCTATAGTGCCATACCAGGACCCATAATAATAGGATAGTAATTATTTAAAATAACTTTATTTTATTCCCAACAAACCTAAAGCTATTTGCAAATAATTTCATCTGCCCTCCTAAAAGCTTTCAAAGGCACTTCTCCCTGTCTAAGTGGGTGGGAGGTTCTGGTTGGAGAGGGGGAATGTGGCACAAGTCAGGAAATTGTCTAGCCAATCAGTAGGAGAGTTGGGACTAGATCTCAGCTATCCCAAGCTCGTGGTCTGACCACCAAACCATACAGCCTCTTTTTTTTAGTGTTTGTTGGCTTGGCTTTTATTTATCTCTTTTCAACACTTTTGCCTTTCCCTGCCAGCAACTGGAAGTGCCTAGCAATAGGATACTCAAGCAATAGAATTTAAACACTAGAATTTTGAGCCCAGGGTGAACGTTTGACATCTTCCTATTTGTGGAGCATCATCCTGGGACTTGGAAAATTATGCTGCTTGGGGTCTGTGTGGTGTAGCTGGGAACCAGCCCCAAGAATATAGCTTGCTTGGGCATTAACCCATTTGCGGTTATAATAATGATAAGTTTCAGCACCAGTGGCGCCCGACTGTTAATGACTCAAAGAATGCTAAATAAGAACAAGATGTCATCTCTGGAGCAATTTGAAGGTTTTTCCTACAGCTCCATCCCTTCCATAAAATAAAAAAAAAATCCTGAGGACCCTTGTATTTAAAGTTACCCTTCTACTCTGAAAGCCCTGGACAGTCTATTAAGGAAGAGGAGTTAGAAAAGGGTAGGAGGTTGCTAGACTAAAGCTTCAAGAAAATTTTGGGTTACACAGAAATAACAGGTGGCCTTACTGGAGGTGGAATTACTATTTGCATTTTTCTTCTTTATACTTTACTATATTCTCAAATTTTTCTATAATGGGCATGTGTTATATTTATAACCTGAAAAGAAAAAGGAAGAAACAACAAATGGGTGACTTGAAAAACTTTAAAATACTTTTTAAGCAGAGTGATGACTTTCCAGATAATGTTTGTTTTTCCCAAGATGAAGCCACTACTTTTAGAACTTCTCTTCTGTCATAAATTGCATGATAATAGATTTTGGCAAGACAGCTGTGGTGGAGGAAATTTTCAGTGAAGAATACACAATACAAATCTTCTAAGAAGAGTGTAAATGTACAAGTAGTGTTAAAGTCCAGTATATTTTTGAAAACCTGTTAAATGTTAAGGAAAGAAGAAAATGTTAGCATTCATTCAACTTACATGGGTTTTTCAGGTTCTTAAACTATCCTAACATTTTCTGAAAATGTTACCAAAATAACAAATCACCCAGGTAAGCCAATAAATCAGAAGACAACTCCACAATCCTGGAAAATAAAGTGACATGAAATTGATCAAAACATAGTGATGATATCAGATGTCAAAGACAGCACAAGAAATGGAAAAATTAAGTTCAGAACAATAAGAAAAATACCCACAAGAGGGAGGATATGTTGAGACATCAATTTATTGCTGTCTAATTCCTGGTTATAAAAGGAAAATCAATAGATATCTCTGGTTCTGCTAATGACCTATTAAGAGATTGCTTGAGAAGAAAATCCTCCCTGATATTTATGGTGCTACAGAAAAGTAAACATAAATGTACCAAATAATTTTAAATCTCAAGGGAACAATGAGAAAAGAGAAAAGCCAGGCTGAATTATTGCTACAAAACAGGTTTGAGAAACCAGGACAAGCTTTTATCAACTCATCAAGCAGAAAAGATGCTGAAGGCCAAGTAGCTACTAAGAAATGCAGGTCATGAAATTCATGCTGAGTTCCTAGGCTCTTCTTAAAAGACTTATCTTCACAAGAGCAAAGAGCAGAAACTAAGTGTTATGCCACTGTATGAGATTAACATGTTTAAATATAAGAAACACTATTTACAGAAAAATCTTGTTGAACTGCTACATGTCAAGAGACCAGAGCATTGGGGAAATTTACAAAGAAAAGGAAAACATTCACAAACTCTCTAGCAGTTAAGAATTGCTAATGAATTACAAGAAAGATGTTAAGAGGACATGGCTTAAATTGCCTTTGAGCAATTACAGATTGTACCTCCTAGTTCATTTATTGTTGTTAGATGCTGTAAAAAGTGTTGAAAATTATACTTTCATATAGACTGAAAGGAGTCCAGGTGTGATATTGTGGGTTAATGTGCTGGACTTCAAGGTCAGTTTGAACCGTAAGGTTGGTGGTTCACGGTCACCAGCCACTCCCTGGAAACCCTATACAGAGTGGCCATGAGTTGGAATCAACTCCATATCACTTAACAACAATAGCAACGATATAGACTGAAAAATGTGCTGACCCTTTTTGATGTTGTTCTTAGCACTATCAACTCAATTCCACAATTCTGACTCCTCCCAACCCTGTATAGGGTTTCATAGAAGCAGTTGGTATATTTGAACCATCAATCTTGTAGTTAGCAGCCCGGTACTTATGTAATAGCACCACACCAGATCCTTTTAGATATTGTAGTTGTTGTTGTTAGGTGCTGTTGAGTCGGTACTGACTCATAGCACCCTTATGCACAACAGAACGAAACACTGCCACATCCTGCACCAACCTCACAACCCTCGCTACACTTGAGCCCATTGCTACAACCACTATACCAATCCATATCACTGGGCGGGGGGCTTCCTCTTTATATGTAAACTGACCCTCTACTTAGCAGGATTTCCTTCTCCAGGGATAACATGTCAGAAGTATGAGAGACTATGTCAGGTCATTCTGGCTTCTAAGGAACATTCTGGCTGAACTTCTTCCAGCATATATTTGTTTGCTCTTTTGGTGGTCCATGGTACTCTTAATATTCTCCTCCAACACCATAACTCAATTGTATCAATTCTTCTACAGTCTTCTTTATTCATTTTCTAACTAAGACAGACTAGAAAGAAGGACAGACTGACTACT